TTTTCATGGAGAATTTATAATCCTCCGAACATACGTTGATTTTTACCAATCTGAGAAACACCTCCATACTACATTTCATTTTCTATACAATTTGAGGGAATATATGCAAAAAATAACTGTTCTTTAATGAACCTGATTTTAGTCAAATATTCTTTCAGTTATTTTAAATAAGAAAAACCTGGAACAGAAAAGAAAGAAAAAATTATATATGCTAGAATCCCTCTAATGTAGTGAAAAAGACAAAGAGATTGTAGAATATTTATTTGAACTGATCCAAAATCAACTTCAATTCTCAACCCACATTCTTTTAAAGATGAGCCAGCTCATTGCTCATGCAAAAAGCACTTATTTGGGCCTGGCGCAATAGTTTAGCGCTTTTAGTCCTCTCCTTGAATGTGCTGGGATCCCATATGGACACTGATTCTAATCCCAGCAGCCTTTCTTCCCATCCAGCTTCCTGCTTGTGGCCTGGGAAAGCAGTTGAGGATGGCCCAAAGCCTTGGGACCCTGCACCCATGTGGGAGATCCAGAAGAGGCTCCTGGCTCCTGGCTTCGGATTGGCTCAGCTCCAGCCATTGTGGCTGCTTGGGGAGTGAACCATCGTACAGAGGATCTTCCTCTCTGTCTTCTCTCTGTATGCCTTACAGTAAAAATCAAGAAATATTTTTTAAAGCACTTATTTTTATCCAACCCAAGTAAAACTTTATTATTCTCATTTTAAAATAATGTCACCATGCCACTATGTGAAGAGTATTCTATAAGTCCACCACGCTATGTACTTATTCCTAAATCTTTGTAACTTACTAGAATTCTTCCTCTCTCCAGTGTCGTTAGCATTTTCTCAAGATCCAAACTTGATTTCCAGGACAAGTCTTCCTATTTTCTAAATTCAGCACAAAAGTTTAAATGAAATAGTGAAGATGAAACAGCCTGTTCTAAAAACGGGCTTGTACCAACTCTGGACTTGATAAAATAGTGCTATTGTCAAACTTGACTCGGGTCATGCTTTGCTCTGGCTGGTGGAGGAATAGGAGCCTTATTTGTCCAGAAAGAGAAAGGAAACACTACACTGATCATTCTTACACTTCTCACTGATCAAGGTCATTTCTTAGTACTTATATCAGAAAAAAACTCAAGTTATCTAGTGCTTCAAGGTGTCCTACTTTACAAAAGATTTATTTTAAGAATTTCAACCCTATTTACATGCTTCTTGGGATTACAATGGATAGAAAGAAACTGCCTTTTCCTTAAGTGAAAACCTTTTAAAAGCACAAGGAATGTTTAAAACACCTGTATAAAATCTTGAACCTTATGCATTCTATTTCTTAGAGCCTCTTGCAGAGAGAGCTGGAGGGGGAGCAGGAATTTTTACACAACAAGAAGGAAGGACCAATAAGAGAAGAGAAACGCCGATGGCCAAATAGGCCAAGAGAATTAAGGAGGAGGAAAGATTTGGCAGGGAGGCTAAACACAGAATCAAGGAAATGAGGCTCAGGCAGAGGTGATGGGAATAAAATGGGGAGGGAGTGGAGAAAGGAGTGGTAGAGTTCCAAATCAGTCACCTAGAACAGACATTTTTCAAATGCATTTTAATAGCCCAGCTCTTTTATAAACAAAATTCCTTTTCCAAGATTTTAAACCTGAGGCCAAAGAAAGCTTGAAGTCAGAATAAGAGTTCTAAGACATAAAGTTTAACAGCTGTTGTAAACCATGTCTCCCACTCAAAGAAACCTATCTGCAGAGTGTGCAGCCCGCCTGCTGAGACTGAGGTGGTGTTTCATTGCCAGACCTGGAATGAATCTTGTTCTTTCCCTGGCTTCTTTTGTCTGCCTTTGTTGGTATCCCGGAGCCAATACATTTTCCTTTGGCTTAAGGTACACATTGGATTGTAACTAAGATTATGACATGCACACTCAGGAAATGGAAACACTTGGCAGAACATAATTTACTGCTTACAGTACTCCTAAGCATCTCCAAACAGCATCCAAGGGTCCCAACTTGGACACTGAAAACAACTGCCTTAACTAATAGCTCTTATGTGAGACTGGTTTTTACAGGCATCAAGAGGCATAATATGTGGCTGGTGTCAGGGAAAACTTGCAAATACTTCGTTCACTCATTGGGAAAACATTCATCAGATTCTTACTCTGTGCTATGTAGTATACTAGACATGAGAGCTACAGCAGCGGACAAGGGGCCCATACTGAGATGCAGTGCATTAAGCTGCTACCTACATCCCTTGTTGCATCATGGACTTTCAGCTGCTCTGCTTCTGATCCAGCTCTTTGATAATGTGACTGGAGGGGCCTGGCGGCGTGGCCTAGCGGCTGAAGTCCTCGCCTTGAACACACCAGGATTCCATATGGGCGCCAGTTCTAATCCCGGCAGCTCCACTTCCCATCCAGCTACCTGCTTGTGGCCTGAGAAAGCAGTTGAGAACGGCCGAAAGCTTTGGGACTCTGCACCCGTGGGGGATACCCGGAAGAAGTTCCTGGATCCTGCCTTCAGATTGGCATAGCATTGGCTGTTGTGCTCACTTGGGGAGTGAATCATCGGACAGAAGATCTTCCTCTCTGTCTCTCCTCTCTGTATATCTGACTTTCCAATAAATAAATAAATAAATAAATAAATAAATCTTAAAAAAAAAAAGATAATGTGACTGGATTAGAGCAGAAGGTGGTCCAACTTTTTGACTGCTCCTGCTACCCATGTGGGAGACCTGATGAGAATTCAGGGTCATGGCTTTAGCCTGGCTCAGCCTGGCTCAGCCTGGCTCAGGTCATGGCTTCAGCCTGGCTCAGCCTGGCTGTTGTGGCTGTTTGGGGAGTAAACTAACAGAGATGCCCCTGTCTGTCTCTCTCTCCTCTTCCTCACTCTGGATATAAAAGTTATGCTCCCTGCATTAATTATGCCTAGTGCCATGTTCTGCTTTTTGTGCGCAAGAGCCATGAATTACAGAAAGACAAGCACCACCTGTGATGGTAATGCAATCACAGTTATCTGTGTTTAAAATGGATATTCTATATTTATCATGATCACTTAATTAGAAGATAATATTGTTTGTGAAATACATGTGCTATTAGTCCTGAAAAATATTAGGCCTGCTTCTAAGTACCATAAAAATCTTAGAAAATATTTAACAAGATGGCAAAGAATTAAACATTTGCTCCCAACATAATGGAGCTTTTGTTTAAACTACTAGTTGCTAAGACTGCTTTTCCTTTTTTTTAAATGGGAAAATGATATTTTCTGTGCTTCTGAAAACATATTGTTACCTCACAATTGCTTTTCCCAGCACTTAGCATTCTTTATGACTAACAATGATTAAAGGACCCCACATTCTTTCCTTGGCCTGGCAGTATCTCTCACTCCCATGAGGCAGGACGTGATGACCTCAGTAGCCACATTCACATTGTCAAGTCATGATTTTACTGCACACTCAGGCAGAAATCCACTTCCTGCTTCTGAGTCATCAGAGCCTTCTGTCTGGGTTCCTCACCTCCATCCAGAGAGTGTACTATGCAGGTTTCTTCCTCAGAGCATTCACCTTCCTATATGATCTTCCATTCACTTACTCATTTAACAGTGACTGAGCATGTACCATGCAGCACTCATTGCGTTAAGTACTGAAGTCATTTTGATAAGGATGAAACAGCCTGTGCCTTCCCAACATCTCTAAGCATAATTCCTCTAAATTCTTACTAATAGACTCTAAACATTTTGTTGTATACTTCTACTGAGAAACATTTTAGTATATTCTGGCTATATAGATATTTACCACCTAAAATTATTATAAATCATTTCTGTTATGCTATAACTTTCACCTGTTATCTCAGAATAAAATAAAACCTTTAAATCATGTTCTTCGATAGTCAGTGGAAGTCTGTATTTTAAATGATGATAACAATTCTGAGTCTCCCGTGAGATGTGCTTGGCTAGCTCTTGTTCTTAACTACAACAGGTGTGAGGGCAGAGTCACCGCACGTCCTTACACACAACCACAGCAAGCAGAGCTGCGGGGGAAGTCTTTGCATAGGTACAAAGAAGCCTGCTCTGGCTTTTCCTTGTCATTTGTTCTCTTTTGAATAGAAGTATTATCTACAAACCAGATATTCTTTTTTAAAGATTTTTTAAAATTAATTCTTTTTGGATACAATTTAGTTGGTGTTGGGTTCTCCCTTCCCCCTCCTAAAGTTCCTTCCCCTCTTCTTTGTTTTCCCATAAAGGTTCACAATGTATGTCTTCACGAATTTTCCCAAGCCCATCATGCTGCCGCTACAGTGTCTCCTGACCGTGTATGAGACAGTCATTTCGGTGTGCGTTGATTCTTGAATGCTGGGGCCCTAATGTAGGTACAATGAGGATTAAATCTTCATTACTTATGGGCAGTACCAATAACAGTGATAAAGGGGACATTGACTATTGCAGGTGATTAAAAATATCAGCCTCTTATGGATGGTTGATTAAGGAATTACATCACAAGATTTTGTTACAGAAGGTACAGGTAAGTGTGAAGTGACATATAGTAAGTTTTCCATATAATATCCCTAGATTTGACATCATATTATGTTTTTTTTTAGCTCATGGGATATAATTTATTTCATTTTATTTATTTATTTTTAATATATTTTTATTTTGAATTCTGAATTATATGGTACATTTTCATATAGGCTGGGATTACATTATATTATCTTATATTAGAGCACACATATTATATCTGATCTTTTGGGATTGGCTCATTTCCTTTAGCATAATGATCTCTAGTTTGGCCCATTTGGCCACAAAGTAATGGCATTTCATTTTTTTTTTTAATAGATAAGTAGGACTCCATAGTGTAGATAAACCACAGTTTCTTTATCCAGTCTTCTATTGATGGGCATTTAGGTTGCTGTGTTGCAGTGAACACTGGGGTGCATGTTGCTTTGTCGTGTAACAGGTATTTTGGATATATTTTTAGAAGTGGTATTGCTGGGTCATATGTTAGGTGAATTCTTAATTGCCTGAGTGTTTTCCATACTGACTTCCAGAGTTGCTGCACCAGCCTGCCTTCCCCGCAGCAATGGAGTAGGGTTCCTTTTTCTCTGCAGTTTCACCAACAGGTATTTTGGGTAGTTTTCTGTACATGGCCAATTCTTTCCGGCATTTTGTGTAACATAGCATTGTTTTTATTTTAATTTCCCTTAATGCCATAGAGTTATAGCATTTTTTTCATGTATCTGTTAGCCATTTAAATTTACTCCTTTGTAAAGTGTCTGCCCATATCTTGTGCCCATTTCTTGACTGGTTTATTTGCTTTGTTGTTGTTCTGGACTTCTTTGTATATTCTGAAAATTAGCCCTTTGTTTCCCATGTACTGTGCAAAGATCATCTCCCATTTTGTTGGTTGGTTTTTTACTTTGTTGATTATTTCTTTCGCTGTGCAGAAACTTCTTAGCTTAACATAGTCCCATTTGTTTATTTTGGTCTTGAATTAATTGCTTTTGATGTTTTTTTCTAGGAAGTTTATGCCCACGCCTATATCTTGCAGAGTATTTCCAACTTTTTCTTCCAAAAGTTTGACGGTTCCTGGGTGTAGACTTATATGTTTTACCCATTTATTTTTTTTTTTTTAAGATTTATTTTTATTATTTTTTATTGGAAAGGCAGATATATACAGAGAGGAGAGAGAGAGAGGAAGATCTTCCGTCCGATGATTCACTCCCCAAGTGAGCCGCAACGGGCCGATACTATCCGATCCGAAGCCAGGAGCCTCTTCCGGGTCTCCCACGCGGGTGCAGGTTCCCAAAGCCTTGGGCCGTCCTCGACTGCTTTCCCAGGCCACATGCAGGGAGCTGGAAGGGAAGCGGGGCTGCCGGGATTAGAACCGGCGCCCATATGGGATCCCGGGCGTGCAAGGCGAGGACTTAACCACTTGCGCCACCGCGCCGGGCCCATGTTTTACCCATTTAGATTTGATTTTTGTGTATGCTAAAAGGGGTGGGTCTTGCTTCTTATTTCTACATGCTATAAGCCAGTTGTCCCAACAGCATCTATTGAAGAGACCTTCCTTTTTTTCCTAGATTATTTTCTGTTTTCTTGTTGAAGATTAGACAGCTGTGCATGTGTGGGTTCCCTTCTGGATTTTCTATTCTACTCCACAGATCTACCTCTCTGTTTCTGTACCAGTACCAAGCTGTTTTGATAACTACCACCCTATAATATGTCTGGAGATATGGAATTGTGATCCATCTTGCTAGATTCGTATTCTTTAGGATAATTCCGGCTATGTTTACTCTGCCCATTGAGGAACATGGTATTTTTCTCTACTTTTTGAAGTCTTCTTCTATTTCTTGTCTTAATGTTTTGTGGTTTTCCTCATATAGGTCTTCCACATCCTTTGTTAGGTTTATTCCTAGGTAGTTCATTTTCTGCTCTGTTATTTTGAAGGGCACCATGCTAAACCAGGGATTCTTTTATTTTGAAGTCAAAGAGAGCTCTCAACAACTGATTCACTCCCTAGACGCCAACATCAAATAAGAGGCCAAAGCCAGGAAATCAACCAGGGTTTCCCACATGAGTGGCAAGGACTCTGCTATTTGAGCCATTATGGCAGGACAACAGAACTCAGAGTGCAGCCAGGACTTGAACCCAGGCACTCCAGAGGCAGGTGTCCTAACTGCCAGGTCAAATGCCCAGCCCCTGCGAGTCCTTATAAGAACATATGTAAAATACATGTGCATCCCGTGAGGCAGTTTTACTTGTAGGAATGAAAACATCAACCTGTAAATCTTCTTAAAATCAGATAAAAGTAACTGCTACACTTCACAATATGCAAAGTGTGAACAAACACATGAAAAGTGACCTGACATAAAGGGGAAAGTACTGAAGATGTCAGGAAAGTACTGAAGATGCATTAACGATTGCAAAAATTTTGCCATATCAGCTTACATTGGAAATAAATGCAAATAGAAGTTCTACCAGTGCCTGGATTTCCTGCACTCCATACTGAAGAATATGAAACCTACATCATGACATTAAAGACCAAATAATGTGTTACTGGAGTATAGAGGGAAGGCAGCCAAAGTTTGTTTGTTTGGGGTAAAAGGCCGAATTTTAGAAGTAGAGCAGGTGATGTGTAAGGCAAATCTTGGACAGTGTGGTGGTTTAATCAGGTACAAGAGAGAAATGTGGATATTTAAATCAAAGGAGCACAGTAGTAGGTTGTGTTTGGAGTACTTAAGCAAGCAGTTCTGTGTGACTAGAGGTTAGAGAACCAAGTAGGCAGCCTTGAGTATAGACTGAGAAAGGGATAAAAAGAGGATAGAGAGAAATTTACTGGTGCCAAGAACACTTCAATTTAGAAAAGGGCAACCAAAATGAAAGAGATGAGCTGACAAGAGAGCAGATCACAAATGTGGATAGGTTTTTAAAGAGAAAACATAGAGGAGCACGTATATTAACCACATTGCTGTAGACCCGATTTCTTGGGAACTAAATAAATGAGTCTTATCTTCCAAGAATACCACTGAGAGCATCGCAGTTCACCCATAAAAGCCCTTCCTACTACCAAATATCTGTGAGCTAGACAAATGAAATAGCTGAAGTCTTGGTTCACTTTCTGCCGCTGTAACTTAATATGGCAGACCCAGTGATTTACACAGAATAGAGGTTTGTTTTGCTCAGAGTAAGGGTGGGGCACGGATATCTGCTCAGCAGCTGGTGAGAGCCTCCTTGATGGGTCATGGCATGGCAAAGAACATGATGAGACACAAAAAGCTTGCCAGACAGAACAATTTCATACCAAAGTCACTCCCAGGATAATCCATTCATCTGTGAATGAACTAACCCAGCTCCTCTCAAATGTCTCATCTCTCAAAAATGCTGCATTGGGAACCAAGTTTTCAACACATGAATTTTTAGGGAATACATTCAAACAATCATACACATAAAAACTGAAGTCATGTGATTATCATTTGTCATTATCATTTTATGGTCAGTAAGCATTCTGAATCCTTACACCCTGACAGCCCTCCTGGTAGACCTCATATTCTTCAACACCTACAAACTGCTGTGAGGACCCACTGAACAAAGTGGTGTGTGAGTTTTGAGAGATGATTCAACGTCACCAAATCTTGTTCCACTTACAATCACTGCCCAGCAGTTTTTATCTTATTTACAAAGAGTGCTTATTCTATGCCATTAGATGCATCCATTCAAACTATTTTCTGAGAAATTCTGGCTTTTCAAAAACAATGTATTACAGTGTGTTTTAATCAAAGCAGCAATTTCTACTGACAAATAATTAAATAATTGAGATGAGCATCTCAAGTTACTTCTGCCTCACAATGCAACATTAGCATTCTGCAAAACCTATTTTCAAAATGAATGAAAAGGGGAGGAAACAGAATTAGTCCGGGAATGTCAAAGAGTTGGGAGATACAATAATTTGTGTTGCAAAATGGCATGAAGAAATTCTACAGGGGTTAGCACAGTCATCATGAAGGGGATGTCTTGGCAGAACTGTCTAATAAGTAACAGCCAGGACTAAGGCTTAACAGATGTCAGGGAATTCTTAGCACTGAATCTCTCTGAGGTCTTCCAATTTCTCATTCCCACTCACACAAGCAAAACACAAACTGCAGAGGAATCGCATACTCCTCGGGGAATCAGAACCAAGAAAAAGAAAAGATCAACTAGGACTTGGGAAGGAATTCTTTTCTTTCTTGTTTTCCTGTGCTTGACACTTTCAGGTGGTCTTCTCAAGATAAGTATAGACGTTCACTCAAGAGCAACTTGCTCTCCTACTTGCCACCATCTTTTGACCACTACGAATTGTTTCTTTCCCTCTGCTTCGGTAACTAAACTCTGTTGTTTGTTCTTCTAAACTGAGTTATCTTCATAGCAAAGCTTCAAATAATGCATAAAACACCATCATAACCCTCTTAGAAGCAGCCATTTGTGATTATTTCTTCAGCTTGATTTTCTCCTTAAATTGTTGATTGGCTGTTTTTATTCATCAGAACAAAAAAACCTTTACCTTTTTAATTATATATTTTATTTTATAGATTTTGTTAAGCAGAACCCCCCCAAAAAATCCTCATTTTTGAATTACATATTTTATTTTACAAACACAAAGTATGTCTTGAGTCTATTTATAGCCAAAAAAATCTACATTCTTATGCCATAAATATAATAAAATAGAAAGCATCAATAAGATGGTTTTGTCTACTATGGAAAAACAGCTCCAGGTTAAATATAAAGTGGTAGGAAGCTTGTGCCCCTGGTCCCTTGTCTCCTAGGCAGCCAGAAACCCACTATGGGGCAAAGGGCCTATCCCAAGTTCCACAGCGCAGCCAACCCATCTGCACAGTGGCACATACCTTAGAATGGTCTCTTCCTCCTTCATGTTGTCCTGGAAAGTTATCATGAGCTCAGCTAGTCATGGGGTTTAACTTTATGTTAATGTGTGAAGGAAGGAAAGTTACTTAAGTCCATACCTTCCCAGGAGTGAGACTGCTAACACAAAAGAGTCTCTAAGGGCTAGAATTTCAGGCTGGGTGATGAGGTGAAAAGAGAAGAGTTTCTGGTGGTGTGGAGAGATCATTTTGATTAGTGGAATAACTTCCCTCAGTGAAACTGGGCATCACACTGAACAGCAATGAAAGACTATGTGCGGGCAGGGCTTGGTAGCTTAATGCCTAAAGTCCTTGCCTTGCACGCACCGGGATCCCATATGGTCCCTGGTTCTAATCCTAGCTGCCCCACTTCCTATCCAGCTCTCTGCTTGTGGCCTGGGAAAGCAGTGGAGGACAGCCCAAAGCCTTGGAACCCGGCCTCCACATAGGAAACCTGGAAGAAGCTCCGAGCTTCTGGTTTCAGATTAGCTCAGCTCAGGCCTTTGCGGCCTCTTGGGGAGTGAACCATTAGACGGGAAGATTTTCCTCTCTGTCTCTCCTCCTCTCTGTATATCTGACTTTCCAATAAAAATATAATAAATCTTTTTTTAAAAAGGAAGCCTACCTGAGTTCTGGTGTGATACAGACTTTATTGCCATATTATACTGTGTGGCAGAAGACATGGGCAGGGGGAGCAGGGGCTTTGCAATCACAGATGTCTGGATCCAAATACCATGCTGCTCCTCACTG